CGGCTATATCTTTGAGCTCTCACCGTCTCTCTTCTTGGGGAACCAACCCTTCCCATGCGCCGGTGACATATCATCCGACGCTGCCCTCACCATTTGTCCATGCCAACACACGAGCAAGCGACCAACCCCCTCGTCTTCCTGGTCATCTCCACCACGTTCGAGCCCTGCAGCCTCTGGTTCACCTCGTCGGAGGGGCATCTCGGTTGTGGAACAAATTCAGCACGTGTCAACCTGTAGGACCCACCCCATCCATGCCCAAGCACCGTCCTCATATGATCTAGGTATTGAGTACTCTCTCATGTTCATATATTTTTTCATATCTCTGTGTGCAAATAGCAGAAGTTGTAGAATCTTAAGTGAACATGGTATTGTCCTTTTGAAGTATGCAGTCATTTCATGGCGGTATTCACTTTATTCTATTTTTTTTCTCATGTGCACTTACTTTGTTTATTCTGTTATTTGAACAAGAACGTTAACATTGTGTATTTCTTTCCATCACCACCCAAAAGTATTATAGCCTAGTTGATAGCCCAATGTGTTATCTTGACGTCACCTCACCATCCCAAAGTAGCCTGGTTCATAGCCTAATCTATTATGATGTGGATCTAAACCTTGTTTCTAAATAGATTTTAATATTTTCTTTTTGCATTTTGTTCTTGTTCATATTCTTGGTGAAAAAGCAGTGGATAATGAAGGAGCATAAGGTTTTAACTCTGAGAGAATATCAAATTTGTCACATAAATAATGATAGAAATTATATATCTCATACATTTGAATTATTACACATTAACAACATCTAAACCACTCTTAAAATTGTGCCTTTTATTTTCATCAAATCGATGTTGCTATAATACAAAGGGGCACATTCTTTACTAGTGTCAGGCCAAAGTGATTTTCCATATCAATCCCATCACGTTCCAGCTCAATAGGAAGACTCCACTTAAACTGCCTTAACAAGGAAGCGGGCATCACATGCACCATCCTAATTGCCAAAGTCATTCCAGGGCAGATTCGACGCCTTGCACCAAATGGAAGGAGCTCAAAATCCACAACCCTAAAGTCAATTGATGAACCCAAGAACCTCTCAGGCATAAACTTCTCAGGTTCTGTCCATACATCTTTATCTCGACCTATCACCCATACGTTTATGAACACACGTGAACCTTTAGGTATTGTGTAACCTTTTGACTATCATCTCAGGTTGTCGTGGCAACAAGAGTGGAGCAGGAGGGTGGAGTCAAAAAGTCTCTTTTATGACAGCTTGGAGACAGGGCAATCGAACAATGTCAGCTTCTTCAATGTTTCTTCTAGAGCCGATAACTTGTGCAAGCTCGACACAAACCTTAGTCATTAATTATGGGTTTCGAAGAAGCTCAGCCATTGTCCATTCCACTGTGCTAGAGCTTATGTCACTACCAGCAACAAACAAATCCTAACATACAAATATAATGTTAGATGAATATAGTCTAGTAAATGTAGCTATTTACTAAACAAGCATCACACAAAGTACAATGTATTATTTGCTAAATGTGGTATAAAAGAATTGACATTGCTTTAAACTACACATTCGTTACTATATGGATGAATCATATATGCAATAATTCGTTCATATGTAACTTGATATTGGATATTCATCTCATTGCATTATAGTAGAAGAAGCTATTGTTCTTGACCCAATTTTTCCTTTTTCACTCACCGATGTTGAAGTGCAATCTTACGAGAGCTATGGTGGAAAGTTTGGAAATGCTGCAAAATTGCAATATCACTGGTCTGAAACGACGGAAAAAACATAAGAATTTCAGTTTTAGATTATTCAGTGCTTATAAAGGAAATTCATATTTAATTTTAGATGATTTGGTTCTTTGTAACACATGGATAGCATGTCATGATTCCTATAAAATTTCCATGCCGATACTATTCTATAGAAATTTTAGATGCATATTAATTTGTATTCAAATGGTAATTTTCACGTTATCAATTTTCATGTTTCTGGTCACATACTAGAGTGAATGTCGTTATAATTATTGTGCTTCCATGTTGTCGTATTTCTAAACTTCAAGGTATATACAATACAGGGCCTCAAGGGATAGGATGGACACCATCAGTGTGGATCTATATATATTGAAATGGTAATGAGTAAAATAATATTTGAAGTGCTCCCTCAAGAGATGTCGTTTTTTTTTTTGCGATGCAAGAGATGTCGATTTTAGAATGGTACATCCTGCATCTTTCTTTTTTTATCATTGCTTGTGTGGTTTGGTCCACTACTAGTTCAAAAGGTTTTACAGTGGTGACAGCATACTTATTTGGCTTGTAGTGGTACCATGCTCCTGAGCTACGGGGCACAAATTTTTCTAGAAAAAACTCTAATATATTTTGGTTTTTTTGCGAGAAAACTTTTAATCTATTCATCTTCAATTATGACAGTATAACGAACACCAGAAATGATAAAAATTACTTTAGATTCATATACCAGCAAGCGGCGAATACAACACTGAAGCAAGTTTTATTGACAGCAGTAGATGATTAACATGCCACAAATATCCACATTACAATTTTGTCTAGGCATAGAGAAATAAGGAACCAAAAAAAATCGACCATCAATAGATACAAATTGGCTACTCTATAATCTGTATCAGGTTTTATTTTTATTCCTGATCTAAAAAGTGAAAATTGGATATGAAGTGCCACTTTAGCTATCTCGATGCCATTTTTGTTTTGGCTGGCTGTGGCCATGTGCCACCATTTGTTTGATCCCCGGGAGAGGCTCAATCAGCAAGGCTGGCCATGTGCTTTGATCCCCGGCAGGCTCATGTGCGGTTCATGGAATCAATCAAAGGGTATATAATACATCGAGTGTACTAATTTTGATCTTTTACTAGATATGAGTTGAAAACTGAAACACCAGCTGCAATCGCAAAGAAGAAAGTTGTGCGTCACCGTGAAATGTGAGCGTAGCGTCTCAGGGTCGAGCAGGTCCTTTCCCTCGTCACGCGCCGCCACGTCGAGCAGCACGTCGAGGTAGTCGTTCTTCCTGGGCTGGCCAGCGTCGCGGCCGCGCAGCCTCTGGTCCACCTCGGCGTCGAACACGGCGTGCAGCCGCGCGAAGATCCACGCCAGGCGCCGGCGCATGCCCTGCAGGTCGGCCGGCGCGAGCACCGGGAAGAAGTCGGACACGTTCGGGGTGCCCAAGCCTTCCATCATGGCCGTGATCACCTCCTGGAAATCCTCGGAGCGGCCGTGGTCGTCGAGGTCGATGGAGAAGATGGTGCGGGAGATAAGGTTCAGGCTCGTCGTGAAGACCGCCGTGCCCTCGCGCGCCAGCCGTGCGACGTGGTCCGTGAGCTCCCTCACCTTGTCGCTCCGGAGGTGGTGGAGCGCGTCGAGCCGGTGCGGCGCGAAGAGCTCCGTGGCCATGATCTTGCGGAACGCGCGCCACCTCGGCCCGGGGGGCAGCCAGGCTACGCCCGCCGCGTGCTTGCCGGTGGCGTCAGGCACGGACCGGGTGGCGACTGGCGAGCACGGAATCATGCCTCTGCAGGAAGCCAGGAACCCCCGAGCCATGGCGGTGGAGGAGACGACCACCGTGGCCCGCCGAGGCGGACAGACATTAGCGGACCGTGGATCTTGGCTAGGTGGGCGAGTGAGCGGTGCGGCGTGTCGCTGTCGCCGAGAAGGTGGAGGCTGCCGATGAGCGGCAGTGGGCGCGGGCCTGGCGGGAAGCCGGAGCGCGCGTGGGCGAGGAGGTTGAGAAGGTAGAAGGAGAGGAGAGAGAGACGACGACTCGACGAGCCATGCTAGCCACGGCGCAAAAGCACAGCCATGGCCACCATTGCTTCCTCTGTGCAGTTCGCGTGTGACACAGGAGACACTTAATAAAAGAGAAACTAAAAAAAAATCATAATCATTGTAGACACTCAGCTATATATCTACTTTCTCGGTTCCCAAATATAAGTCTTTCTAGAGATTACAACAAATGACTACATACGAAACAAAATAAGAAAATCTATACTTTAAAATATGTCTACATATATCCGTATGTTGTAGTCCATTTGAAATGTCTAAAAAGACTTATGTTTAGGAACAGATGAAGTACTTCTTTTGTTTGAAAATAGTACCCCTCTGCGAAATGAAAAACGAACGGTCTGGGTTTTGACAGTGTAGTGGGATGCTGCACATTTCGTATGGGGATATGTGCGCACACAATCAGATACGAAGTATTCCCCTCATTTTGCTACAACACATGTGTTTTCTTCTTCTTTTTTTGGGCTCCAATCACTGTTGAACAATAGGAATTTATTGCACTCAAAATAATTTATTCTTTCAGCGAGGATCACCCACCCATACTTTTAGTTTGATTCCACACTTCGTAACACTATTAACTTTTGAACAAATGATCCGTTTTTCATTCCATTTGCAGATCTGGGTTCATGACATTAAATTTTTAAAAGAAGATCAATTTTGGACATGGTTTGAAGAAGTTCAAATTCGTATGTGGAAAGAGTTCGTGATGACATGATACTGCATGCATACACATATATAGGGCATAATACGTCTTTCGAGGTAGTCTTCGACCAATGATAAAATTATTAATAGGTGAGATGTATGATATAAAAATTATATCATCACAAACTCTTTTCACATACGAATTCGAGGGTATGCTTTGTGTGAGATGCATGTCATATAATATTGTGGATGGAGAGAGTGTACCGGATGATACATAATATTTAAATCTTTAAAACAAGATCAATTTTGGACATGTTTGAACAAGTTCAAATTTGAATGTTGATACAATAATGAAACTCATATGATACTCCCTCCATCCACATATGTAGAGCCAATATGTCTTTTCGAGGTAGCCTTTAACCAATGACACAGTTATTAATATATGAGATGTACTACCTCCGTCCTATATTATAAAAGCGTTTTTGACACTATATGACGAATTATATGACGGAGGGAGTATGATATAAAAATTATATAATCACAAATTCCTTTCACATACAAATTCGAGGGTATGCTTTTTGTGACATGCATGCCATATAATACTGTGGATGGAGGGAGTATACCAGATGGTACAATAATGAAACAAGCAAATGAGAATGCACGAAAAAATAATGAAAAAAAATGTAAAATAGCGGTGGCACATAAACGAAATTGTATAGAAAATTATGAAAATAACACCTTTAGAACTCAGCCCAAGCATGAAAGATAATTTAACAAAATGATATGAATACTTATGATCAAGACTCCAAAAATAGAAATGAAACCTCAGTGAAGTAGTACCCGGTCCGGAATGAAAAAGCAATGAAAACATGCAACATAAAAGTAATTTGCATTTGAAAAAATTCAACCATGTGCAAAATTGATCTTGTTTTGTAGATTTAAATATCATGACTACTAATATCCAAACGGTTTGTCAATCAGATATTTTGTTCAAAAGATAAAATTGATACAAACTATGTAATCTGACTGAAAAGTACGAGTGGGGCCTCCGCGCTCGCTGTCCCACACGTCATAGAGGTGGGTAAGAAAGTTAGTTGGATTGAAGAAGAGAGAAGCTGGTGTGATGTATATGTGTCGGACAATGTGTAGTATTGCCATAATAGAGCAATAAGAGCAACTCAACGGGGTGACCCAAACGGACACGCGCTTTGTCCGTTTTTTATTCGTTTGGGTTGGCCAGGTGGACGTGCGTGTCCGCATTTTAAAACGGGTCGGCTTGACCGCTCAACGGGGAGGCCGATCCAAATGTGCTGGCGTGAAAAAAAAATGTTGCACGGAATAAACATAATTAAACATAAGTGGCCGGTCAAACGCCGGCCAAAGTCCACTTAGATCTAATTAAACATTAAATAAAACATTAAAAAAGTTTGCGCTCGCCTGCTGCCGCCCCGCATGCTGCCCTAGACGTCGTCGGCCTTGCCCTTGCCCTTGCCGTCGACGTCGCCGTCATCAGTGAGGTCGATGAAGACCGGGGCAGGGCCAGCCCCCCGAACGCCACCTGGTACGCTGCCAGGGCAGCCTCCTCCGGCGTCTGCTAGGGCAGCGGCATTGCGGCCAGCCGCGCGCGCTCCTCCTCCTCCTCCTCGAGCCGGAGTGCCTTCGCGTCACGTTGGAGCATGGCCTTGTAGCGCATCTGCTCCTCGCCGTCGGCCTGCTCCTGGCAGAGCCAGTGCTCCTTCCAGCGCTCGAGGTGGGCCGTCTCCTGCTCCGATGTCGCGGCGAAGTGGACGGGAGGCACACTCATCCACTTGCGGTACTGGCCCGTCCACGAGTAGGCCTCCTTCGGCCAAGTGGGTGGAGGCGGGGAGCGCTTCCGTGTCGGCTCCGACTTGGACTGGACGGGCGGCGACGGTGGCGGTGGCGGCACGAAGACCGGGGTGTGGATGGTGTCCCCCGCCGCCGACAGGGCAAGGGCTTGCTCCAGCCCATCACAGTGCGCGTTCTCCTCGAGGCGGCTAGCCTCTAGCGCTTGCTACAGGGCCTCCTCGAGGGCGGCTTGGTACTCTGCCTCCGCCTCCATGTCCTCCAGCTCTACCTGCGGGGGCGGCGGTGGGAACGGCGGCGGGACGTCATCGACACCCTAGCGACGTCGCTCCTCGTGTTCAAGGGCGAACCACGCCTCCCAGTTAGGGGAGTCGGCGGTGTACTCTAGCAGCCGACGCTGCTCTGGCGTGAGCTGCGGGCAGCGCCTGCGCACCTCGTCGTCGTGTGCCCGCTGGCTCCGCGGAACCGCCAGCACCGGGATCCGTTGCGGATCCAGATGCCAATGGTGCGGAAGCGTGACATCAGGGTACGGCAGCGTCTGCCTGTACTCCCAGTGCCACCGCGCTTGGTGCACCGGGATGTGCAGGCACCGGCGACCAGGGCGGAAATGCGGTGCCGCCGGAGGAGGAGGGGGAGCATGGGAGGACGAGGCGCCGGGGGTGCCCTTGCCCTTTCCCTTGCCATTGCTTCTGCCGAAGAGGCCCATGGGCGCGCTAGGGTTTGCGGTCGCCGGCGAGGAAATAAAGGGAGTGGTGGAGGGCCAGATGTGGACGGGAGAAGTGGATGAGGCTGGCCCCCGCCGTATGCATGGTTAAAAAAGGACGCTTCCACTGGCTGACGCATGGGCCCGCTGTCGGTGGTCGTCATAAATAAGACAACCGGTGGTGGTTGGGTGGCCTACAGGTGGGGACGCGGCGGACGGTGATGAGACACACGGCGCGTCCGCTTCGTGTCCACGCCGACGCATTCCAGGCGCAATTTTGGGCCAGAAATGGGTCGGCGTAGACGCTAGGCGGATACGATGTGAGTTTGGGTCGGCGCGTTCGGCCTCCACTTTTGTCCGCGCCAACCCAAACGAACGCGGGCGGATAAAATGGGTCACCCCATTGGAGTTGCTCTAACTGCACACATCCCCAATCGAAATGTGTGGCATCCCACTACCCGGTAGAAACCCTGACCGCTAGAAAAACCACTCTCCTCCCTCCGTCTCATAATATAAGATATTATTATAACCGATATGTGAATATATCAGTTACGATGGAAGGAGTACAAAAAAAATCTATTTTAAGTACTCCATTCATTTTACAATTTTACTTGTTCTAAAATATAAATATAAATATAAGTGTATTCATTTTTTATGAGTCAAGCTTATTTATATGTAGTTTGATCTAGTTAGGTTTTTGAACAAAATATCAACACCTACAATGCTGAATTGGTATCATTAGATCCATCATGACATATATTTCAATGTTTCATTTTATTAATATTGTAGATATTGACAATTTTTTGATATTTTTGTTAAACTTTATGAAGTTTGACTTCTGGAAATTTTAGAACACCTCATATTCCGAAATGGAGGATGTAAAACTTTATCTTACAATAAACCAGTATTTTAAATTTATCCTATATATGATAAAAATTATGGCCAACGTCCGCAACATCGAGTTGTTATAAATTATTACTCTGTAAGCTTAATGCAATTTTTTTTGAGGAAAAAAAGCTTAATGAAAATTAATTGTATCAACAAGCTACCTTATGAAGCAATTGCGTCGGAACCTGACTTCGATTTCCTCAAAATTCTGGTGGGGTGCAATGAACGGGTGAGAGGAAAGTGCATTGGATTGCCTGGGACAAGATGTGCTAGTCAAAACGGATGGGTGGTATGGGTTTCCGTGACCCAGAGGCTTTCAACCAAGCCCTACTAGCAAAACAGGCATGGAGGATTTTGCAGACGCCGATGTCTCTATGTGCGAGGATTCTTTGAGCCCGGTATTTTAGCGATAGCTCCATCATGAGTGGCACTTGCCCATCGGGCGGATCCTACACGTTCAGGAGTATATTGCATGGGAGAGACCTGCTACAGGAGGGCATCATATGGCGCATTGGAGATGGCTCGGCGGTGAACATTCACTATGACCCATGGATCCCGCGACAAGGGAGCCTGCTGCCACTGGGCGCAGACTTCATTCCGGGTGTGCAGAAGAAGGTGGCTGACCTGTTGAACCATACGGGTGAAACATGGGATGATACTAAGCTCCAAGCTATGTTCTCTATGGATGATGTCAATGATATTA